GAGTTGGCTTAGACGCATAATAGGGATTCAAAGGCAGGGCCATGCTAAGTAATGATTCTATTCACTTCCGGGTGCAGGCGACGTCATCAGAGGTAAAAATTAAGAAAGGTGGCTAATCGCATTAGAGAAACTGGATGAGCAAACACCATCCGTGAAGCTTCTCACGTGGGGACTAGAAAATGGCAGACATCAGCTGGGAGGCCCGCATACAACCTGAAGAAACAGGGTAAAGGAAGATATTTTTCATAGAAAAATATTTCATTCTATAACACAGTAATTGATGCCGTATAGCAAAAGTGTTGGAAAGCTGCGAATGCAGTGGGCATCAAAACCTGAGATTCTGGTCATGCAAACGGCCCGAGGTGGTGATCTATACAAGCAACAGAAAGAATAAACTTATCCAGAACTTCATTTTCAGTATATGACTATGAAAATTAAACTATCCGCTTTTTATAAGACAGCGGCTTCAGACGTGGCATAAAATTTTAGTTTTAATCCGACATTTCCGAATCCGGCACAGCAGCCATCATCAGAGATAGTCCAGAAATAAAAGACAGTGAAAACGATGATAAAGAAAAGATTACAAAACGGTAGTAATTTAAAAGACGAAGGGACAGACGTACAACAGAATTAAAGGAATTTGACAAAAATGCATGAACAGGAGATGCGGTTGCTAGAATAGCATGGATGAAAGAAGAAATGCGGAAGAATAAATTAGAGAAGTCTATGGGGGTTCATATTATGGATTTCTTGATAGAGCAGGTGTAATCGCTGCACATCCTTCCATCGCATAGCGAAATATGCAGGGACTCATTCATAAGGAGCCCAAGCCTATCTTTTCACAGTCAAGGATACTGGTATGGTTAATGGCACCTTGGTGTCCGTTTATTGCTGCGCTGTGCAAGCTTTCCAATACAAATTCTATCAAAGTATATTTGATAAACAACAGATTTGTCATGGCTAAATAAAGAATTCAATGTTTTGGCATAGGTTTGTTGCCAGTGGGTTCTGTTTTATGAAGAACGCGAAAACCTAATTTGTTGGGATTATCACCTTGATTGTGCGGTGTGGGACCGCCCATGCTTTGCTTTCTGCAGTTGGACATGAGTTACACCCTCATCCTGCTGTGCTAGTGCCTTAAACGGCGTTTTGCTACTATTCCTTGAAGTGGACTAGTTGATCTGTAATTTATCAGATTTTTTCCTTAAATAACTCGCCTATATTTCGTGTAGGCATCGGATTGCCTAAAAAGGAGTAGAAACGTGGC